TGTTGGGATGGTGAAAGGTGGGACCGGAGTGGGTAAAACTCCGCTGTGTTGGATGAGCTCCAAGCCCGGCGGGGACCGGAGCGGCTCCTGCAGCTGCTCCTCAGCGGGGCCAGCTCAGCCCCAGCGACACGTCCGGCACCTCCCTCGTCCCAGGGGGATGTAAATGCGCATTTTTCCAGCAGGTCAAAAGGGCAGATCAGGGTTGTTCCATCCCGCTCTTCTCCAGGCGATGCAGGTTCCTGCAACCCCCTTTGCGGTGGGCAGAGCCAGCGGGTCCCGGGAAGGGGCAGATTCCCAAGGGCAGCGCGTTCCAGGGCACTGGCGCTTGCTCTCCCCTCGCCCTTGCACTCCCTTCAGCATCTGCAGACATTTAAATTCATGCCTGGAGTTGTGCTTAGCAAGTCTCCAAGCCGCTTCGATGAGCTGTGCAAATATTATTTTTCATTAGGCGTGATTTAGTTGTATTAAAGGACATTATTGCCTCATTACGGCAGAGCACGTATTCCCTCCTGCAATGTGCCGGCGCAAGGAATCCCCGGGATCGATTTGCTTTGAAGGCCGCCTGCTTAAGTGTGCTGGAAAATCAAAAGCTCAGGAAGAGCCAATTTCCGATTTAAAAAAATAATAAAGATCACTTGTGGAGGAGGGCAGGCAGGATCCCTAATTGTGCCGGAGATTCCTGCTTTTTATTAAGCATCTCAGTGATTCTTGCAAGCTGTGCACGGGGAAAGCCCCAGGTTCAGAGCGACCGCTGCTGTGTGCTGAATCCCGGGAATGCTGTGGCCTGCGCTCCTGGATTTCCTTCCCGATGAGCCGCTCGCAAGCAGAGCATCATCCGGCGGCTCCGGCGGTGCCGTTGCTCACAGTGACACCTGCAGGGTATGTACACGCCGTGCCGGCAGCCTATGGAAAAGACATATAGGACTTAGCAGCAAAACAACAGCTTTCCTATGAGTCCCCGGGCTGCCTTGCGGCATTTAGGGAAGTGATGCATTTAGGCTATAAAATGATGCTGGATGATGAGAAGGACCCGCAGAGGGACCAGATGTGCTGCAACGTTCGCCCTCCCATCCCGACCATCCAGGGCTGCTCCGAGGGAACATTCCTGGCTGCGAAGTGCCGGGCTGCGGAGCAGCCACGCGAGTCGAGGGGTTATCTTGGGCTGGGAGAGACGCGTCCTTAGGAGCAGGAGCGCGGAGCAGGCCGGGATCCTGTTCTGCAGAGCTCAGCACTTCGGCCGAGAGCTCATCCACTGAATTATTTATGGCAGCGCTGTGTATATAAACTGCCTTTCGAAAGTATCGCTCCTGGTTTGGACACGAGTGGGAGCTGCGTCCGTCCTAGCGAGCGCGAGGGCTGGGGACGCTGCGGTGGCCACGTGGGTCACACCGTGGGCCCAGCTGAAAATGTCACCTCCCTTGCAGTGAGTTGCCAGCCGGGTCACTGCTGCGAGGCCACCAGAACGGGGCCGGCAGTGCGGGACGACATGGGAATCTTTGCTTCCCTTCTGATTTGTCACCCAAAAGCCCGGGCAGGGCTACAGCCTTCCTGTGGTGCCCCAGAGTTGCTTCCTAAACCCCTTCTTATCCCGGGCATCATTATCCAGGCATCAAACCCCCACGGGAAGGGTAGGGAGAGCCCCGGTCCCCTGTGCATCCCTGGAGGCTCCCGGCAGCAGAGCCTCATGTGCTGAGGCTGGAGAAGATGCTCGTAAAATGGGAAATCAGGGTACAGGAGATACAGGGAAGCCCCATGCTGAGACACGGACGCATCCCGGCTCTTTGAATCTCTGCTGTTTACGCAGAGCATCATCAGCCCCCGGGCCAGAGATGCTGCCGTCACGAGGAGGAGCGAGAAAGCGAAGCGAAGCGATGCAGGCCGCCCGCTTAAAGTGTTTTTCCTATGGAAAGCCACGTTCTCCGCCTGTGCTTCTGGCAGCTGCCCTGTCCGCTGGCTCCATAAACGCAGTCTCCGGCTGGCACGCTGCCCGGCTCTTCCTAGCAGCCCCGCTCTGATTCATTGACTGGGTAGGATTACAGGAACCGGGGGAAAGGCAGAAATGGGGCTGCACTTGCCACCAAACTCCTTTTGGCTTCTGACTTATTCACTGCTTCCCCACCACCCAGGTTGGGTAGTGGTTTTGGGTGCTGGGTGATGCCCTCCCATTGGAAACCTTCTGTCTGGGGCTTGTGATGAGAGTGGCTTGCGTGAGAGCCAAAGGTCTCAGGCTGACTGTTTTGTCCTGGGCTCAAGGGTGGGATGGGATGCAATGGGATGGGATGGGATGCAACGGGATGGGATGTGATGCAACGGGATGGGATGCGATGCGATCGATGGGATGCAATGCAACAGGATGGGATGTGATGTGACGGATGGGATGCGATGGATGGGATGCAATGCAATAGGATGGGATGCAATGCACCTGGGTGGATGGGATGGTGACGGATGGGATGCGATGGATGTGATGCGATGGATGGGATGCAATGCAATAGGATGGGATGCAATGCAACTGGGTGGGATGTGATGTGATGGATGGGATGCGATGGATGTGATGCGATGGATGGGATGCAATACAATAGGATGGGATGCGATGTAACAGACTGGGATGTGATGGATGGGATGCAATGCAATGGGATGGGATGGCTGGAGATCCCGTTCCTCTAGAGCCCTGCTGTGAAGGTTGTTCTTACCGCTGCATATCCCCAATTCTGCACACCTTGGTGATCCTGCAGCAATCTCCACATGGGTTACTGAGCATGGTTTACATGGTTTCCTGCACCTGCAGCTGCCGGGACGGTCCGGCCGGTTCGCAGGAGCCTCCAGCACCCGGTGTCTGTGGCCCTGCCTGGCTGGAGCCCTTGCGATGGTCTTGACCGTGGCCACCTCAAGTGCTTGGAAGTCGCCCTCCCACACAGGCCTCCTCCGAGCGGCTCCGCTTGCACAACAGCTCCGGCCCCTTCTAGGAGAGCTCTGCTCGGGTCCGAGAAATGAAATTCAGATGTGAGCAGCTCTGTGGGTGCCAGGCCGCTAGCAAGGCGCCCACGGGCTCGCTGCGCCGGCCGGGGGTCCTTCGAGCTGCTGCTAATTGGGCTCATTTCTCTCCTCCCCTTCTCCCTCCTGCATTTTCAAGCGCAATTCCGCAGTGTCCTGTTTTCTGTTGCTGGTGGGAGGTTTCCCACTGCCCAGACGTGAGTAGGAGACGTCTCCTCGGGAGGGCTCTCTGCTCAGCCGCCGCAGCAAGGCCGGGGACAAGAGTGATTTATGGGACACGGGTTGGATTCCAGGATGCTGGGAAAGCCCCGCGGTCCCTGGCGGGGGATGAGGGCCTCGCGGACAGAGCAACCGCAGAGCCCGTGTCCTGCAGAGGCCTTGGTCACCGTGTCCTGGATGCCCGGGGTGTTCCGGCAAGGACAGAACTGGAGCTGCTGGGAGCAACGTGTGAGTCTCCGGAGGGGTTCGGGAATGGAAAATGCCTCCTGCCCAGGGCCTGGAGGACTCCCTCGCTGATGGAAAGCGGGGATTAGTTGCATCCAAGTGCTCGTGTGCCTGGAGAAGCGTCCCAGGAGCCGCTGTGATCTTGGCACGCGACGGTGGGTGTCCCCGAGCTGGGGCAGAGAGTAACGCCGTGTCCCCACGCTCCCCATTGCCCAGTTTCAGCACAGCCCCATTTGGAGAGGCTGGCAAAGCAGTGCTCGTTTTATGGCGAGAAAAACCCAAAAAAGCACCGACCCGCAAGCAGCATCACCAGCCATCAGCGGGGCGAAACCCTGGGATGCTGCTCCCAAAGGAAGGGAGCAGGATGGGATGGATTGGGAAGGGACAGAGGGGTCCGGGCATCCGCAGCGGCTCCGGGGCTGCCGGGGTCCCCCGGAGCCGCCGCGGGGGTCCTGCCTTCCCCCTTGGCTGCCGCATACTTTCACCCAGACCACAGCGGAGCTGCAAAGCACTTCCTTTTACCGAGATATTTATTACTGAATATATGAATCCGGGAGCCTGCGGAGCGTGAAATTAGGACGCAATGTAAAAAAGAAAAAAAAAAAAAAAAGAGGTCTAGACAGGAATTGTTCTGCTTGTGGGCTCTGCGCGCCCCCCTCCTGCCTCTGCGCGCTGGAGAGTTCAGTGCTTCCAGGTACTGGGTTTTAATAAGACAAATATGTTATGGGTTTGGGGGAAAAAAGAGTGAAATGCAAAGGGTCTCGCTCTGGCCCCTGCGCTGTGATGTGACATTGGGCCAACCGCAGCCAGCGCTGCCTGGTTGCCCGGCAAATCCTTTCGGAAGAGTCATTGAAACTAGATGCCCCGTGCACATTTTTTTGCAAACACTTTCTGAGTTTTTTTTTTTCCCCCTCTCACCCTTGGGGGGGATTTTGCCGGCAGAAGCAAGTGGGGCCGGCGATAAATCACGCTGGCTCCCGCCGCTGCGCTCAGCAGCCACATAAAATGTGATACTGCTTTATCCATTCAGCACTTACCCAACTTTAGCAGGACATTAAGCGCCTGAAAATATGCCATAGATTTATTTTCTTTGGAAGCTGCCTAAATCCCTGACAGATACGGCTGCTTTTCCTCTGGTGCTGCAGCAATTTGGGGGTGGGGGGGCTGGTTTTTTTTTTTTTTTTTTTTTTTTTCTTCTTCTTCTTTTTTTCAGTTTTAGCATGATACAGTGAGTGGTGGGCCAGCTTTGTGAAAACACATGGAAAATGGGAAAAGAGGTGCTCAGAAAAGTCTCTTCCTGCTGCTGCCGTGTCCTTGCCACCACCATCCAGGCTGGGGTGCATGAATCCCCCTCTTCATAACAGCAAACATATCTGTTTTAAGTATATAATTGTAACTACTGCATCAACTTGCAATTGATTATCTATACTGAATGCATACTATATATTAGTTTATATATGTGTTTATAATATCTATTGCATATTTTATGTATATTATGTAATAAAGCAGGGACAAGGAGGGCTGTGGGACCGGGCTCGTCACCTCCCGCCGTGCTCTCTTTTGCAGGTTGTTAATGGAGAGGAGGGCGGATGACAGCCGGGACCGTGGTCATCACAGGTGGAATATTAGCGACTGTCATTTTACTCTGCATTATCGCTGTCCTCTGCTACTGCAGGCTCCAGGTAAGGGCTTGCACCGACGGGCTCCGGCGCATCCCCCGGGAGGGACGGCGCGGGCTCCTGGGTGCAGAGAGCAGCCCCTCATGGGCTGACAACACGGGGAGCTGGTGGCTCCGTGTCCCCAGTGCCACCGGGCTGGGGTGGCCTCGCCAGGACACCGTGGTGCAGTGTCCTCTGCACCCCGGGGAGCAAGACCAGAAAGGGGCTGGAGCGACGTGGCTCCCCGCAGCAGCTCCAAGGTGGAGCACCATGCAATGCAACCCGTACCCACCTCCCAAAATACATACACACA